CCGTCCTTAGGAGGGCAGCGGCACCAGCGCCGCCGCTGCTGGCGTTTGTCTTGAGCTGCGTGCTCCTGTGTGCCGAAAGGGATGCTGTGCTGTGAGGATGGCGAGAATGAATGAAAGATGAACGGTAAGCAAAAGTAACAGTTAGCTGAAGTCTTGTAGTGTGCCTCCATGTGGACATTGGTGGTTTGGAATCACTTAATTATATGCTTCTGGTTTGACTGTGTTTCTCTTGCCTTCCTGTTATAATGCTGGATGTTTGAAGGTGACAGAGGGGGGTTGAAAGTGAAGACCAGATACTCTGAAGTGCAAGAAAGAATCATAAAGTGGTTTGAGTTGGAAGGGTCCTTAAAGACCATCTGGTTCCAACCCCCCTTGCCATGGGCAGGGACATGTTCCACTAGACCAGGTTGCTCAAAGCCCTGTCCAACCTGGCCTTGACGAAGTACTTGCATGGGACTATAGTTTTGCTAATAGAGATGCTGAAAGAGAAAATACAAATAAATCAAAGCAAAGTGGTTCACGAAACTAATGTAAAGAAGCATGTTTGGTCTTTGATTTAAATTAACATCTCTCGTATGGTGCATTTCTGGCACAGTTGCCATGAAAGGAGATGAATCTGCTTGATAAGCACCATAGTGTCAGTTATGAAGGAGGGTAAGTGTGAAAGATGTAGAAATGCAAATTAAAAGAACTAAGTTTAACTCGATAGTAGGGTTGTGGGAATGGAGGTGTTGGAGAGCCATTCAAGGCCAAGGATGAAGACGGGCAGAAACGCCGGCTCACAGCATTCAAGGTCAATGGTTTCTTGAGAAAATCAGGTTCTTTGCTCTGTTACTGGGATGGGTACTAAGGCTTGGGGTTTACTTTTAGATTTCTGGTTGATTTGTGGGCTTTGCTTTTGCCTATTTCCCTGTCTTCTCCTGTCCAGAGTATTCACTGGGGAGGGAAAAAGTTCCTCATTTGGGACCTTCAGCTAACTCCAGTGCTGACTGTTGGTTTTAACTGCCAGAGCCAAGAGTAATAAGTAAAATACTGCAGAGCTTAGGGTGTTCTAGGGTTGGGGTTTTTTTTTCCCCTCTGTATTTCTCAAATTCTGAAGATATTTCATCAGGTATTTTTAAGCTCATTGCTGTTTGGAAAAATATGGAGTTAGGCATAGAGTAACTGGTGTGGTAGTATGATTAATACCTGGAGAGGACCACTCTGTTACTTGATGCTTGAAAAGTTGAATTTGCAGCTACAGTCTAGAACTTCCTAAGTGATTCATGGAATGGTGTATAAATCACCAGTAACTGCAAAAGAATGCACTTAGTATTGAAAAAATAATTTGGAGAAAACTAAAAAATATATAGCTATCAAAATAATTAAAAATGGAAACTTCATATATCCTATAAACTGCTTTAATGTTTTTCTTCTGAAAGCCTCTGGTGCACAATCCCATTCTTACTTTGTACACAGGAGGTAGAGGATGTGCATTGTCTTCCCTGAACTTTCATAAGCAATGTATCTTCATTTTAAGCTTTACTATTTACTAAGTTGTTTTGGTACAGTGCTGCAGTAAGCTTGCAGAGCTTACAGGGTTTCTGCAGAAAGGTTGAGAAAGCATTGCTCTCTTCTTAGTACATCAGAATCACTTTTAAACAATCCAGAGCAAATGTCACATTGCTAGTATGTGTTTCTGCATTTCTAGGCATTGAAATGTTGTATTTGAGTAATACAGGAAGGTTCTTCTGGCACAGGAGAGAGCATTTATAAATAGTTCACACTTACAAGAATTCCTAGTTCATTGTTGCAAAGATTAGGTATGGTGTATCGGTGCCTCTCCCCTGCCTCTATGCTAGAATAGCTAGACTAAGAATACTAGTCAAATATAGTTCCAAATTCTGATATGAATCAAGTTAGTAATACCTTCTACTGAGATATTGGGAATAATAGTCCTGGACTACGCATCATATTTCAGCAGTACTTGAAAGTGAAACTGAATCTGTTGTAGCAGTAGGTGTTCCAAACATGTTTCAAGTGAATACAGAAGTGTCAGAGCAGTAATTGCAGCAGCTGTTGGGAGTTGGCCTCTGCCTTCTTGCTAGATGCCTACTTTGTGCCATGTCTGCTGGGGGAATGAATACTCACTTCCCATGACTGCATATTTATCTTATTGGCAGCTGGTAATTCCCTTGGAGTCCTGCCTCCAAGTGTTTTCCTTCCAGAATACAGATTGTTTCTGCTCTTCTAAAGTAGAGTACTAGAGAAAAGGGCAGGCTGTAATTGTTATCTTGCCTTCAGTCAACAGATTCATTGAAAATACATTTTGCAATTCCATTTTTTCATTGTAAACAAGTATTGAGAGTGTCTGTAGTAAATCAAATGTAGCAGGTTACTTAGTATTTCTAATTCTGGGTGGCTAAAATGCTCATAGCAGAAGTTTAAAGTGGCAGACAATACCATGGAACTACAGATTTAATAACATGTTGTCTGCAGCCTTGCTGAAAGATGAGCCCTTACAGAAGTTAGGGCAATTGAATGTTGCTGTAACAAATCTCTTTGAGCTGTTTTGATATCTTTTTTGCAATAACTAGAGGGAGGTTCTGAAATAGGCAGAATGGTACTCCTGAGCTCTTCAAGCAACACTAAATGTTCGACTAGATCTAAATTGCAATCAAACGTGCAACCAAAATATATTTAAAAGTAGGTCTTGAAGCCTATAGCAGTGAAGGCTGTGATAGTGTGGATGGGGATTTTTGTTTGGTTCAGGCTAGGCTATACAAAACTACTGGAATCTTCAAAAGATAGATAGGCACAGACAGACTGGGCTAGCAAGCTGCCTGGTTTTGTGTCTTACAGGTTTCTAAAGTCTCTGATGACAGGGATAGCAATGTAAGTGCATGGATAAATGCAAAGACTGTTGCAGCCATGTTGCTGCCATTCCTGTTACTTTGCTCCCATTCAGTCTTTGTGAAAGTCAAAGAAAGGCTTCAGAGTTTAATTTTAAAAGTAAGATGTATTTCTATGTATGGTCTTCAAGATACCTTTGGAGGCTAGTATCAAATGGTAGTTTTAAACACAGCTTGATGTTTCTAGCCCAGTTTCTCAGACAAGCCTTCCATCCTGCTCTTGCCCTCCCAGTATTTCTGGAGCAACCTTTACACACAGGCAGAACTCAAAGATACTCAGTGTCTACTAGTTTTGTGAAAACTGGCAAGTGGCTGGAGACCAAGCTAGTGTTTAATTACTGTCAGTGCAGGTGTGACTTGGAAACAGCCTACAGCAATAATCTGAGTTGTGTTCAAGCTAGAAGTTGGGGGGCTGTGAGACTTCTATGCAAGATTATGGGAGGTAAAATGTGAGGTCCCAGGAGGATGGAAAGGACCAGGGTACATATATTACTGTGGTAAAAGTAATGGGATAAGAGTTGCAAATGGAAAACAAAGTTTCGTTATCAGTTCATAAAATAATTCTTCAGACCAGCAGTAAAGCAAAAGGGATGTCTTTGTGTATATATTTGCAGGCATGCTTTTTTGTAGCATTTGATTTCAGTACATAGTGCCAAATATGTACTATTTTGATAAGCAGCTTCAAAAGATATTTCTGTTATTGAAGTAATTGGTGTTTACAAGACATTATATTTGTACACTCAGGAAAGTTTTAGGTGGTCATAAAATAGATTGAGTTTCTCTATAAACTTAAGATATCTGTAGACTGGACATTCTAAGGTTTTCACAATTTTTATGCATGAGTTTTTCCTGGTACCATGTTTTGTTATATGTCTAAATCTGTTTCTTTTTCAGAGATTGGAATGGGACTAACAGGCTTTGGAGTGTTTTTCCTTTTCTTTGGAATGATACTCTTCTTTGACAAAGCTCTTTTGGCTATTGGAAATGTAAGTGCTTTCTGTTTAGTTTTAGATTCTGCACTGTTTAGAATGAAGTATATGATAAATTAAAAATAAAACATTTTATCAATTTGAAACTGGATCACAAAAAATACTGTGGCAGTTTGGTATAAAGGAAGAGTTATGCTCAGGGATAAAAGTGAATCATTTTTCCTGATTAAAGTTATAACAGTTCACATGACTTTAAATGTCGTACCTCCAGGTCAGGCCTGCAGTATATTGGTCAGACAAGATGCAGCTTCTTCCACAGTTGTTATGCTGCTGCAAGTATGACTTTTAGATTGGCTGTGATTACTAACACTTTCTTTTTTGTGATCTTCTAAGATAACTGTCAAACTTAAGAATACATTTGGGTAAGAATAGTGTTCTGTATATGGTAGCAAATTTAGCTTTGCTGTGCTTTATAAAGGAAGAAGGGAGTATGAATTGCTGATAGTTCGGGTTTAGAAGATCCAGTCACTCTTCATTGTTGAGAGATTTAATATCTTTCATTTTTACCAAACCAAAATTTTCACTTAAGCATAGAAAATAAATCCTAGTTCTGGTACACAAAATTCCTAATCCAAAGCAAATAGAAAATGACAGGGTCTTTTCTGAATGTGATAATCTCTGTGTCTCTGCTGTTTCAGCTTTGCCAGCCAGCCAAGAGCACAGCCTGGTAGAAGTTTGCATCCTCTTTTTCTGATGCCTTAGTCTGTGGTCAAAACTGATCAGTTTCATTCTGTGGCAGCAGAGTCAAATACTGAGATTCACTGAAGGAAGATAAAAAATGTGTATTTGAATTCGGGTACATTAGTTGAAGCATTATTCTGAACTGTCAAAGTGTATAGTGGAAGAGTAAAAAATATTGCTTATTTTTTCTTTCTCCAGTGTAAGGTGGAAATACAAGATGCTGTTTAGGGAAAATGATGAAAATATAGGTAGGAAGAAACAATGACAGGTAATGTGGTAAGCAAAGATTATGCAAGAAAAGTTACTGTATCCTTACAGAAACTTAAAAAAAGATATATCAGAAAGGGGAAGAGGTGGTAAGAAAGTGGTTTATTAAATAACATATGAAACTTAAATTTTATCCATAATCTTGAGTAAAATTTGAGATACTCCCCACTTCTCAGCAAAAATGTTACCTAGGTGTATGCTGACAACTGAAATAATTGCAAGTCCTGTTGATAAAAGACACTAAAAGTAGCACTAACTAGTAGCTCTAACAGGGACTAGTGTGAGTGTTCAGACTACTGGAACTAGTAAACTATACAGGAGAGGAAAAAAAAATGAAGATAACTGATAATGCCCTTCAACTGTGTTCACCTTTTGGTTTTGCACTGTTCAGTAGATTAGTACAAGCTGTTGAATATGTCTGTGGTATGGAACAGAAGTGCTTCTGTAACATGTCTGTTCTCAGTCTTCATGAACCTTTGTTGTCAGTGGTGATAAGCTTCAGCACTGCTTGTGGATAATGATTGTACTTATGTTATAGGGCAGATATAACTGTTGTCACCAGGTCTTTTGACATGATTGTGTTTGTCGGAGACCACAAACGTAGACTCTCTTCATGCAACTGAGAGAAGAATTCTGAATATTAGCTAGAAATGCTTTAAGATTGACTTTACAAAAGAAGATCACTCATAAATTCTTCTTGAGCATCTCTTTTGGTATTAAGACAAGTTGTGCAAGAAATGCAATTAATTTTGAAGAATATGTGTGTATATATGTTTACATCCTAAACTTAGAAACGTAATGAGCCATTTCCTTTTTTGGTTGTTTTTTGTATTTTCTAGGTTTTGTTTGTGGCTGGCTTATCTTTTGTTATTGGTTTAGAAAGAACATTTAGATTCTTCTTTCAAAAACACAAAATGAAAGCAACAGGCTTTTTCCTGGGTGGTGTGCTCATTGTTCTCATTGGTTGGCCTTTAATAGGAATGATCCTTGAAATTTATGGGTTCTTCCTATTATTCAGGTAAGTCTTTCAAAATACCTTTCTGTATTGGTGTATGTAGGAATAAATATATGACAGGATTGCAACCGTTTTTGTTTTGTTGTGGTTTTTTTCTTTTTTAACGATGCATCTGACTGAAGTGAGACACACACAATTATTAGTTTACTCTGGTTTAAATCTAGAATGTCTTTCCCTTCTAGTCTTTAAGATGCTGCTACTAGTTTCCCATGAGAGGTTTAGTCTTTTGCCATACTTTCACATGCTCAGGTTGCATTCACTAGAGAAGGCTATTATGAGACAGTATCTCTTGTTGTACTCTGAGCTGCTTTTGGAGCCTTGTTCAGATTACAGGCATCCAAGGTTATGACTAACAGTATTATCCTTCCTGTACTGACTATTCCTTATTTTTGGCTTAACACTTGTTTTAATCTGTTACAAGTGGTTTGTGGGCCCTGCATCATAATTTACTGGACCTCTGAAATTATGCAGTCTCAAAAAAATAAAAAGTCCAGGAAAAAAATTGCTCGTATTGATATTACCCAGCAAATCGTTCTTACCAGTGCAATGAAGAGGATGATGACTCGTGAAACTTCACTGTTTCATTGTGGCTGAAGTCTCATTACACATTAATACTTTTTCTGTGCAGGGAATATATAGCTGAACAAGAGATAACTCAGAATGCCACCACCAGCTGAATTGCTGCAATTGACTGCAAACAGCTGAGATAGATACTGCCAAAGAAAACTTGTTTTCCTGCTTCACAGACCAAGTAGACGGTGCAGGGGAGCTACACCATAGCGGCTGTGCTAGGCAACACCCTGGCACATGATTCAAATATCTGACTTTACATGATCTGTGAAATAAGTGAATATACAACTCTGTCATGTTTAATTTTCTTTAGTTAATGTAGAGATATGGTACCATATATGGTATCAAAGGGGATTACTCAGAACTAACTTCAATTGTTTTTACACTGAGTATTACAAGAATGTATTTCCTATAACGTAAAATGAAACTATCTCTAAATATGTATGGCAATTTTGAGAAATGAGTTGGGAGCATGAGTACTGTGGACTAAATAGGGTATTCTTTCTTTAGTTGGGGTTGGTTTTATTTTTTTCTTTTTTTGAAGAGCTGACTGAGAGTTGCCTGGTATGAAGAAAATTAAGTCCATTTAAAAATAAGGTGTTTGTTTCCTGGTTTTCTCCTTTCTCTTCTGAATGTATCTTGATATATTTGGTACAATTAATGTGCTGTTAACAAGCTACAAGATTTTGTGTAATCTTGGTTTACAAAAATCTCCTATTTCTTCATTTTACGGCAATATAAGAATAGTTTAATTATAAAAACTAATACAACCTTCTGATATTTTGCCTAAAGGGGGTTCTTTCCTGTGGTGGTTGGCTTTATTAGAAGAGTTCCAGTTCTTGGCTATCTCTTGAATTTACCTGGTATAAGCTCGGTAAGTGTTCGGTACTTCATGCAAATTTGAACCTTCTACTGGTTTGTTTTTTGTTTTTTTTTCTTCCATTGTTATAGCAGTAGTAGAAATGGATCAGAAATAAAGCAAATGTTAACTTTAGCACAGTGACTTTGAGTATATTCCTCTACTAGTTCTTGCACAATGCAGATCGCATTAATTCCCCGTGAGAGACTTGTAGATGTAAAAGGGACAAAAGGACACCTTTGGAGAAGCTGCCCCCACTTATGCATTGTGAAGTGGGAAGAGCCCTGGACTGCCATTCAGAGTGCTGGGGCTCTGCCTCCTGCTTCATTGTTGGCCCTAGGAGACCAGATAGGTGAATAATGCCACTGTTCTGTGCTGCTTCTCCTGGCTGTACGATGAGGAGGCCACTGTTCTTTGTCAGATAACATTTGGATATGTTCATGAGAAGTGGCCTGTAAAAGCAAACAGTGTAGGTCAATGTTAAGTTACAGTTTGTGTGGCGAATCCAGAAACTCATGATACATAATCATTCGTTTGGATATATTTATCAAGGCCCACTGCACCAGGCTCTGTCTTGCTATTTACTAAGATTTATATTTTTTCAAATGCAGTTTTCCATTTTCTTACCCAAATAGCCAGGGATCTGAAGACAATTAACAGGTGGCAGAAAGGCTGTTCGGTCAACTACTTTTACTGTGCTAATTTCAGTATGTGTTTTAACACAACATTTTTTAAAGCATTTTTAACCCTAGTTTTGAATGCAACAGTTTTAATAGCTACTACTAAAAAATTAAGGGGGGGTATAACTTAGATGTATACAGACTGTTTTTTAAAAATTAGTGTTCAAGATCATCTGTTCCAATCTTACAATTAGGCCAAGTTCTGGCTCATAATTCATGATCAATTGAATGTTTCATTTGTCAATTGATCTTGCTTAGTCATATTTAATTTGATCATAATGGGGTTAAATCTTGTTTTTAAAAGATAATTGTTAATGTTTTATTCAAAGCCTACGTAGGCTCAGAAGAGAATCCACAGTAATGGTCAGTTGAAATATCTTACTTGGTCTACTAATGCATGTGTGGCTGATACTGTATTGTTTTGTTTTAATCATTAAGCTAGCAGTGTTATCTGCATTCTTCTATTTCCTTTTTCATTCTGTTGCATCTTCATGTTGCACTGTTAATGTCTATATGAGAAAAACATGTCATGCAGAAACACAATTGCAATGTAAGATTTTTAATTTTCACAAAGTTCAGTCATGAGACCTTGGTGAGTACTATTTGACTCTCATTTTCAGTCGCATACTAACCGTGCAAGTAGCAAGTAATATTGGGAGTAACTTCACTGCCCATATGTCATACAGCTTAAAACCTTTTTGTCTTCTTTTCTACAGCTTGTAGATAAAGTTGGAGAAAGCAACAACATGGTATAATGACAAGAGGGCAGAAGACTGATTCTAAACTTACCGTATTATTTATAAAATCCTTTTGAAGAATACTCAGCACAAAGATTAAGTTGTGTACAAAGGAAAAGCTTGTTACATTCTTTACATAACAGTTTAATTTAAAATGTATAGTCAACAATATACATTAGAAAAGAAGCTCAGCAAGTATGCTTCTAGGAAAGTAACTCCAGAGTTCAGGAAGCAAACTGAAGAGGTGAAAGTCATGGAATAACCCATGTTACAACTGTTCAAGACTCTTTCTGTTGGTTTTGAAAAACATGCTAGAGGCAGTGAACCCTTGTGGAATTAACGGTGCCTGTACTTTGCCTTCTTATTTTGAAGGTGCAGTAGAGCAAACAGGTGTACATTTTTATGGGTGATCCAAACTTATCCAACCCTCTGCTTGCTATCCTCAGCAAAAAAAAAAAAAAAAACCAAACGGAAAACTTCTTGTGTGACAAGAGATGCGTCTTTGCATGAAGGTTCAGATGACTGTTCATCTTTAAATGTATTATGACAAAAAAAAAAAAAAGGAAGCCCTACATGGTTCGGTTATAAACATTTCTGTAAATATATGGCTGAGATAAAACATTGTTATCTTAATGTTTCAAAGCCAAATGTAAGTTGATTGTATTTGCCTTCCATTTTGGGATATGCAAAAGGTCAATCTTTAACTTCAGTCTTAAATGTTGGTTCTGAACATGTAGAGCTCAACTGGGAACTCTGGAAACTGACTTGCACTCCTTCCAGTTTGTTCTCCTCGAGTCATGTTACATGTGCATCCAGATGAGAATGTAGCCCCTTGTCATTAATGTTTTACTTGGTGAAATATGCTTAATTTAAAAACTGCATTTGGTTAAGGTGCTGACATGAGCCCTGTGAAAATGTATCTATCTTATCAAAAATTGAACTTTTGTTTTTATATAGTTTGAAGCTAAGGTTTCTTTGTTTACTCTGGAACCACAAATTGACTTATTTTTTACAGTAATAAAATGAAAACTTGAAAGTTCTGTGTATGTGAGTCTCTGGGGCGAAGATTGAACTACTGGGGCTAACTAAAGATCAAGTGCCAATCTCCATATGTTTTTTACCTTGTTGCTTGGGCTATCTTCAAATAATTTAAAACTTCTATTGGCCACAGCAACAAATTTGCTCTAACAGAGGTTCTTAGCTAACATGGAATACATGTCCCCTACTAATGCAAGGGCCACAGTTCTGCTTCTGTTGGAATGTTAAACATTGTGCACTTTCAATAGATTTAGTCTATGTAGTTTCTTCACCTAACAAAATGTTATCATTAAGTAAATTGTATTTGTGCAGGCTTTGGGGGTTTCTTTTGTGTTTAACTTTCTTTTCCCTTAAATATAATCCTAAAAGAATTACCAAAATGCAGTGGTAGTATTTCAAGTAGCTATGTAGCCTTAAAGGTGTAATGACTGGGGTTTGTTTTTTGTTTTTTTTAGTTGTAGGTGGTTTTGGTTTTGTTCCACTCCTCCCCCCCACCTTTATTACGCAGTTAAAATTGGTATTTTCTAAAATAACTTTTAAGAATAATCTTCATATACCAACCTTTTTGGAAGTTGCTATGAAGTTTATTTCTATGAGACCTGTTTTATTTTCATGACAACTGTATAAATAGCCACAATCTACTATTCCCAATGTTTAATTTGCTTCCTTTTCAAACAGGCACAAAATTTTTCAGTGAAAAAATGCAATTATACTTACAATGAATAGCATGTGAAAAATCAAGGGGTTTATTTTTTAAATGCAAAATATCTGTATTTGCCTGATGGCATGTGTGTTATAGTTTACAGACAGGACTAAATATGACTTGTGGCTTCTACCTCAAGAGAGAAACCAATTTTAACTGCTCCCGTAGATCTGTTGCGTGTTTTAACGGCTAGAGAATAACACTACAGCAGTTTAGCAAGCTTCTCTTGTTTGCTTTGGTAGAACACTAGTCTGTACTGTGGGAATCAAGAACTGTTTAAAGCAGGCAGCGTTCATCACTTAATGTTAGAAGTCAGCTATCTGAAGATTTTTGTTCTTGTCTTTTGAGAAGTAATGTGATGGGAAAGGTGGATTGCACCACATGACTATGGAGCTCTGACTGAAAGCAAGTTGCTTGGGAAGCTGAAGAACCTCCCTCAACAAGAAAGCTGATGGTATCTTTCAGAGGTGGTGAATGTGTTGCTGTCTGTGATCTTTTAGACCTCTGAAGTGCTGGGGTGTAGGCAGTTCATCTCACTTATATTCATTCTTTTAAATCAAAAGTCAGGTTTTGTCAGATGTGAACTGTTGTGAATAGCATCTGAGGGAACAAAATTGTATGTTGAATTTAGCACAGTCTTTATTATCTCAAGGTAACGTTGTCTTTGAGACAGTTTTGCCAAGATAAATGTGGGTGGCAGCAAAGGTCAAAACAACTTAGCCTTAAAGTGTTTCTGTTGTCGTAAAAATATCTAACAGAAACATGCTTGGAACGTTTCCCCTTTTAATGTAATTTATAATTGCTGCTTTAAAAATCATAAGAAGGATCTTACTCTTGAGCAAATGAATACTGTAAATATCCTTGTCATACCTTGAATAAATGGGTACCTTTTTTTATCATTTGTATTTGTGTCTCTTTATGTGCGTGTTTTAAGAGTGTTTTGACGAATTTTCCTTTCCAAGGGATAGGAAGTGCATGCTGTTACTGCTTGGCTACCTTATGCTGCTCTGACTTTCATAGTGAATAGTGTCTTTGATTAATCTTAAATGGAAATGTTTCCTGTTTTTCTTACAATAAACCTTTCATGTGAACATCCCTCTAGTTATCCAGGTTCCAATTTCAAACTCAAAATATAGAAATTACAGTCACACAGGAAATAGTTGATTTGTAAAATTACCTACTCTCCTTTCTGAGGAGATAACTGTAACTGTAGAAGAAAAAGGGTGCATTTCTAGAATTTACAGTAGATTTTAACCCCTGTGCTTTCAGTTTAGATCATGTATATGAGTGCAACTTTCAATGCTCTAAAAACTTCTTTGACTAAAGTTCCAGCCTCTCAGCTGGCTTTTACCGAAGTTGGTTCTATCCTAAGAATTCCGAAGAATTGGCATTTCCTAATTTAAAAGGAAAAAAATCCCAGCTACATCTAGTTTTATTTGCTAAACTATGAGAGGTATAATGTTAATCTCTGTGGCTAGTTACTTCTACTGAACAATTGCCGTTTATTAACCAGGAATACTTTGACTTTGTTATTGCCCACAATACGGTACCACTGTATTTTAGAGTTGAGTCAAAAACATTGTGAAGAAAGGTATCTTGTCTCTGTGGTAGATGTCAAAGGCAAGGTTTTATTGGATTACTCTAAAATTGTTTCCTCACCAGATTTCAAACTCAGATGCATCTAGTTGTTGCCTTTCTCATTCACTTGATTATCAGGCTGAAAAGCAGGGACGATGTCCATAAACCAAATGAAGTATGTGTGTTTCCTAGCTGTATCTTCAGATGTCACTGCCAGTCTTTAGACTCCTATCTCTGGCTGCATGTCCTGGCTTGCTTTGGCTGTTACTTCTACACTTCCAATTGCCATTACGAGCTCTGACAGCACTAGTGTCAGAGCTGGTAATGGCAGACTATCTTACCCAGCAGAATTTGGCCTTTGTAGACCATTTGTTCTAATTGGTCTTGGCATATTAAAGCATCTTTCAGAAGACTTGGATCTTACGCTCAGTCCAACAAAGAGATTCTGCAGCTGCTGTAATTCCTTGCCAAGCCTAATTTCAGCACAATTACTGCATGCTGAAGCATCCTCAAATATGTATCAATTTACAGGAAAATGACAGAACTGATGTGAAGTTATTTGGTGTGGAATTCATTATCTCAAACTGTTACGGCTGATAATTTGGGATATTGCTCAAGACCTATTTACAGAAATGCATGTATGCGTGTTTTCACTGGTCATTAATGTGCCTAGCTTACCTGCTGAAGTAGCGCATGTCTGGAGGTATACTTGCTGAAAAGCATGTGTGTTGCTGTTTACTTTCTAGCAGGCACCTTTTTTCATTGAAGCTGTAGTACCACTTCTGCTGGGGAGTGTGGTGCATCTCGTAGAGTAACACATAGGGCTCCCCGCGGCCACCGGAGGGAGCCATGAGGAAGGGAAACACGGGAGGACACCGGCGGGGGGCTGCAAAGCCAGGAGAGGGGATGAAATGGTGATACCTCATGTGGCAAAGGCAAAAGATAAAAGATGCTTTGTATTGTCTTCATTTCAATTCAGCCATGCAACAAGCCAGCAGTCTGGGGTCCGATGTGTCTTGAAAATTTCTGGATGGGTTATACTGTTCTTCTGGGGTCCCTTTAAGCTTGATTTAATTTAAACTGGGGAACTGCAGTGTAGCTTTAAAACATGAAGTGAATGTTGAGCTTTCTATAAAAAGCCTTTTATGCCGAAATGTTTCATGTCAGCCAGCCCCTCTCTTAGCTGGCAGGATTTGAGTTGGAATTTAGAGATTGGGAAAGCGGGTTTTCCAAGTGTCACAGCCCAGCTGCCTCACTGCCTCCTTTCCTCTGGGCACCCAAAAGCTCTTCTGGTAACATCAGAGGAATTGAGGTCTCACACTGATTTCCACAATTTAATTCTACTGCTTTGAAATTAAAGGCATTTTTGGACCAAAATATCTTACACCACCCCTCAGAAAAAAATCACATTAGGTCAGTCTTAAAGTATTGATTTAGTTTTCATATTGAAATGAAGCAGTTGGGCAGCAAGTCATCTTCCAGGTGGCCTGGCTGAATGGCTTTTATTATTTAACCATCTAACTTTGCACGTCCAAAGAAGAGCAATGAAGCTGGTGAAGGGTCTGGAGCACAAGTCCTGTGAAGAGTGGCTGAGGGAACTGGGGTTGTTTAGTCTGGAGAAGAGAAAGCTCAAGGGGGGGACCTCATTGCTCTCTACAACTACCTGAAAGGAGGTTGTAGTGAGGTGAGGGTCAGTCTCTCCTGTCAGATAAGAGGCAATAGGACAAGAGGAAATGGCCTCAAATTGCACCAGGGAAGGTTTAGATTGGATATGAAAAAATCTTCACCAAAAGGGTAGTCAGTGGTAGTCAGTCACCAGACGGCTGCTCAGGGAAGTGGCGGAGTCCCCATCCCTGGAGGTATTTAAATGACATGTAGATGTGGCCCTTAGGGACATGGTTTAGTGGTGGACTTGGCAGTGCTGGGTTAATGGTTGGACTCAATGATCTTAACTTTTCTTTCCAACCTGAACGATCGCGTAGTTCTATGATTCTATGAACTTATGTAGAGAATTAACCTCAACTTGCTCAACGTGCCCAGAAGAAAACACAACAGCACAGAATATCAAATGTTGCCCCTTTCTTACTTTCCTGCCATTTTTTAAGCAGGCCTGAGTGGGGCAGAAAGAAGCCGCTTAGTGGTTATGAAATCTTGGGAGTTACCTTGGATGTGAAAACGGGCTGGCAAGGAACCATGGTGCTTCCCTTAAAAGGTGAAGGAGTGGGCTGGTTTTGGTGAGAACTCAGGGCTCAGGCGCCCCGGGTGTTACAGCCTTACATGGAGCCAGCCGGGGGGGAAGCACTGCTGCTGACTCATCCCCTGAGGTGCTGCTGCTGCTGCCGCCACCCGCAGCATCTGGGTGTGCCCCCGTTCCCAC